TCGCCGTACTTCCATGATCCTTCCATGAGGTTCTACCAGCTGAAGGTTCACAACTTCCCACTCAGGCTGCTAAGGGCCTTTGGGAGACATTTGGTCCAAACCATACTACCTGGGCTCTAAGATAAACAAGTTGTTGAGTTAGAACTGGCACTGAAGACTTTTCTTGGGATAAGTGTAGCTTTACTACCAATGGCTGCTCGTTTGGAATGCTGCTAGGGTTTCCATTTCAGCCTTGTCACTTGGTGGTTGGCCAACAGCACAGTATTTAAATTTTATTCTTTCAGTCTGCAAATACAGACAACTTATTAAATATTTCTCAACTAGTAGTTATAGAGAATGTGTTGATATTGTTTGAAGTTGCAGTGGAATTAGCCTCCATTACTGTAGGCCACTGAAGTGGAGAGGGAGCCACATGTTTATAACATTGCATAGGACTGGCTAGGAGTGTCAGGTAAGAAGCCACTCCAGGTTTGGAAACTGCTGTTGCCACAAGTATCATGCTTTGGAATGTGGAACCTGGCTGGTGTTGCCAGTGTGAGGGGCCGCTATGGATTTGTATGCAGGTCACCTGCACTGGTGTAAAAAGAAAACCAGTGGCTCTGCCCTACAGATCTTACTTGTACGAGTCATACCATACCATTTCCATAGCCTGATCGTAAGAGTGTCTGGAGATTCAGTGTGTGGTGTGGTGTGTGTGTGGTGGTGGTGGTGGTGTGTGTGTGTGTGTGTGTAATTAGAAAGTCCAGTTCACATTCTGACTCTAGATGGTTCCTTAATGGAAAAAAAGCTCTACCTTTCTGAATACTAGAGAAACAATATCTTCTATAAGAGAGTATAGAGATATTCAGGTATGTAGAAAAACATGTATATGTAAAGCAATTGGCAAGTGCCCCAGTGTATCATAAATAATAGAATTACTTCTCTTTCCACCTCATTGTCATGTAACAATGTATAGACACCTATGATGGACAGAATTGCACATGGTGGACATGAATAGTTGGAAAGTTCTGTCTCAAAGTGATAGCACCCATCTTTTCCCCTGTGATTATTAGGAAGGTCTGCATAGACACTAGACTAGGTGAGATTCCTTTGTCCTCAACAATATAGCGTGTTTTCTCAAAGGCTTGCCTTAAATAGACTACTAAAGGATATTTACTGGCTGTTTAATAAGATGACCGCAGATTACTTTTGGTAGTGTTTACTGTGATCCCTAGTTAGCAAGTCCATGAATTTGAGTTCTCCTCTTGAGTAAAGGAATCTCAACTGATGAGAGCTTAAGGCCTAACAGTCTAGCATATAATCTCAAGAAGGTGCTGGTTCTTTCTATTTATTTCTGCTAGTGAGGAGTTTTAGGAAGAACATCCATGAAGAATACATCCTTGAAGGCTGCTTGGACTTGTCTGTACTGACTAGATACCCTTCCCCATCTCTGAACAGGGACCCTTCATAGTACATACTTTGTCATACCAGGCATCCACTGTGCTTGTGTGCCCGTGTGCCATGCAGAGACCTCAGGGAGTTTAGAAATGGTGCTTCCTTACCTTATCCCCCAGGCCCAGTTCGTGCCTGGAAGGAATTACTCTGTAAATGTTTGTTCAGTGACTGAGCATCATTACTGTAGGTTAGCCCTCACTAAAGTCATTCCACAGTGATTAGGCTAGGGGGAGAGAAGGCGGGGAATGGTTAAGTAGAGTGGAAATGATAGGTTTTCATTGTTTAAAGAGGGACCCCCCCACTTTGTTCTTAGAATTCAACAACAGGTTTCAAGTCTACATTTAATTATATTTGATGAATAAACTAATGAAAAGATAAGTCCTCATTTAAAGATTTTTAAATTACATCTATTTGTTTATGGGGGCATGCTTAGCATGTGTATGGAGGTCAGAGAAAAGCATGCAGGAGTCGGTTCCCTCCTTCCGTGTGAGTTCTGGGGAGGTGGTCATGCTTAGCAGCAAGTGCCTTTACCTACTGAGCCATCTCGATGAACCAAGTCCCCTATTTTAACCTTAGGCCTAGAATATCAAAGGTACAAGATTTTGATTGTCTGGAACTGAGGTGCTCAGTAGCAATTTCTCTTCTGAGCTAGGCTTCATGGAATCTGGTTAGCTGCCCTTAGAACTTAGGTAGGGGTCAAGAGAAGCTGAATTTGACCTGAGTCCCTCTGTTGCCATTGTGTCCCATTGCTCTTGGTCCTGACATCCCTTGCAGTATCTTTTATTTCGATATGCTGGTGTCTCCCATCTCAGGGACTTGTTGTGCTCCCTTGCTGCTATAAGGAGATGCTTGATCATAAAGTTCTCTGTTGGAAGATTTGAACTCACTCCTCTCTTAATCACAGATAGCGTATGTCACTAATTGTCCCTGTTTAGTTCAGGACGGAGTGGTGAGGCTCTGCCATGCTCTGGCCTGTAGCCCTTTTCCAGCTGTCTTGGCTTTCGGTAACCCTTCTGGTAGCTGAACCGGCCTCAAGGGGATTGTTCTGTTTTATTCCATGTTGATATATTTAAAAAAATTTTTTTGTTGCTAATAAAAATTTGCCTGTGAGAAAACAGTTCCTTAAAGTATTTAGAGTTCATACTTAAATATTAATGTGAGGTGTTTAGAAAACAGTTGAATGAAATAGCTATTTCAGTTGTTTAAAATAGCTGATCCCAGTCAGAAAGGATTCTTCAAATATGCAAGACACAACACCATCTTCCTCAATTCTTTATATTTAACCTTTTTGTAGAGCCAAAAATATCCGTAAATACTGTGTCTAACGGGACTGGTGAGATGGCTCAGTGTGGAAGGCTCTGGTCATGCAAGTTTAGTGACCTGAGTTGGATCCAGCTTGACCTTGGAGAGATCCAACTCCAAGAAGCTGTCTTCCGACCTTCACAAATGCTGTGGCATGCATGTCCACACATGTACATACGTGCACATGCATGTGTACACACTAATTAAAAATGAATAAGATGACCAGTACTGTAGTTTCACTAGAAGAAGTTAGGGACTGAGGATGTAGCTCAGTTAATAATAGAGGACTTGCCTACTATGCACATGAGGTGGGGAAACACATGAAGACACAGCACAAGTGAACCAACTCCACACCCCCCCAGAACTAAACAAAAGCACTGCCCATTGCAAGTCATTTGAAAATAAATTTGTGTGTGTTTCCTTTTGGAAATAAATACATGGTGAATAATAGTCCAAGTAAAATATTTAATTAGAATTTGAGTATCTCTGTCTCTACTTTTGCTCAGCTGGTGTTCTTGAAGGAAGGGGAGATGATCAAAGGGAACAGATGATTTAAATGATTAACTTCCAGTTGTGACAGACACATTATTATATATTTTTAAATATGTATGAGTTCCTTGCGTGCAAATGTCTCCGCACTGTGTTCAGAGGGCATTGGATCTCCTAGAATCGAAGTTACAGACAGCTGTCACTGCCTTGGTCCTTGCAAAAGCAGCAAATGCTTTGAACTGCTGAGCATCTCTCCAGCCCCAATATTCTTTGCTTTCTTAGAACAATGATAGAGATGGTAGGATGTGAGGTGGTTGATTTTTTTCCTTAAGAAAAAAGGTAAGTATTAGAAGGAATTATGAGAGAAATGGTCTATTCTTCATATTTGAAGAATTCTTCTAGATGTCTAAAGAGATGATATCTACTAAGAGGCTTAGATCTTAGGCACTTCAGAGTCCAAGTCAATGAAAGGTTGATTTAGAACTTTTTTTCCCTCTCTTTTGATTTTTCTTCTTTTTTTATCTTTAGAATTTTTTGCAGAGTCTTTTTAATATGAAGCATATGTTTTTAAAAATACTTGTGATAGATTTACTGAACAGATTAATGTAGTTTGACAACAAGCCCAGACCTGATGGCTACAAGCTCAGTGATGTTCAGATTACAGTAAGCACATTTCCAAGTTCTTTCTGTTTGGGTCACTGTTTAACTTGGAGAATTGAAAGTTGAAGTAGATCACATATGGACTGATCATTCTGTTCCAGGAAGAGTTTATATTGTCATGGGAGTAGTACTGTGTATTATTCATTTTGGCTCTACTGTGACTTAACTTTTTCCAGACTTAAATTTTAGTTTAATCCTAGAAGAAAGGAGACTAAATCTGTGGGCTAGGACTCCATTTTCAGAGTGCACTTTTTTGTTTTCAGATAGGGTCTCACAGTGTAGCTCTGGCTGTCCTGGAACATGCTGACCTCAAACTCAGAAATCAACCTGCCACTGCCTCCAGAGGATTGTCTGTTGGTTGGTATTGTTTTGGATTATGTGTATGTGTGTGCTTATGCGTACGCATATGCATGTCAGGGCAGAGGCTTGGATCCCTTGCAGCTGGAGTTAGAGGTGTTTGTGAGCTGTCTGATGTGGGTGCTGGGAACTGAACCTGGGTCTTCTGCAAGTGGAGCAAGCCATCTCTCCAGCCCAGAATATACTTGTCTTAACTCCTATCTAATAGGAAAAATCCAAGGCCAAAGACTTAATCTAATGTATATTTTAGTGTTGTTTTTTTTTTTTAATCTCTTTTTTGGGGGCATGTTTGATTTTGATCCTTGAGCAGAGGTTAAAAAAATCTTAACTTTCGAAGTCTTTTGTATTTTCTCCTTTTCAACTGGGATTATAAGGTTTTTCTGGCATCTTCCCTACTTTACTGTGGGGGATACAGGTGGGAGGGCGGTTTTTTCCGGATCATTAGGAAGGGAAACAATTTAATGGCAGAATTACATGACTGGCTTTTGTTTCTGTGGGTCCAGCTTTAAGTCAGTTCTCTATTTGTGTGTTTTCGTTATTAGAAATCATGAATTGTAAGTCAAACATTAGAGCTAAGTGACTTTTGCCTGATCAAAAAGACTTGAAATATAGAATTAGTGCCTCTCCAAATGTATTTTTGCTATGTCAGTTAATTAAATATGATCGATTGACATCATCCTGAGGTATGAAAAGAAAAATTGTAAGACTTTTCTGTAAATACATGAGTTACATCTGTACTGCTTCACTGTGTGTTGCAGGACTTTGTGTCATTGTATCAGGATTTCGAAAACTTCTATACAAGAAACCTCTACATGAGGATAAGAGACAACTGGAATCGACCTATCTGTAGTGTGCCTGGAGCCAGAGTGGATATCATGGAGAGAAAGTCCCATGACTATAACTGGTCATTCAAGTGAGTCATGTTTACAAGTTATTTCTTAGCAACAAAAGAGTATGAGGATTCTCTCAAAGCAAAAGCAGCAGCTGAAGATACAGTGTGATTAGTTTCCTGGCAATACTGTTCATTGTTCTTGGAATATTTTTTTTGGAGGGAGTGCTGGGATTTAAATCCAAGCTCTCCGATGTGCTGGGCTGGGCAAGCGCTGTACCAGTGAGCTACACCCACAACCCTCATTGAGATTTAAGATCTTTTTGTTTTCCTGTTTCATTTGATTCTTTTGTTTTTGTTTTGTTGTTTGGTTTCTTCCCCCTTTTTTGCTTTTTTTTGGAACAGGATTTCTCTGTGTAGCCATGGCTGTCCTGCAGATAGGCTGGCCTCAAACTCAGAGATTCACCTGCCTCTGCCTGCTGGGTGCTGGGATTAAGGCATGCGCTGTTGCCGCCACCGCTTCCCAGCATTGTTTGTTTTTTGAAACAGGATCTCACTGTGTAGCTCTGGCTGTCCTGGAATTCACTTTGTAGACCAGGCTGTTGTCGAACTCACTTTTTTAATACACAAAAATGGGATCATCTGTTATGAATTATTCTTTGCTCTTTTTATTTGCTAGCATACTGGCAGCATCTTACCTATGTGTATGTCCACTGTAAGTTCGTTATTTGTAGTGACTAATGGTGTTCTACAGTGTAGGTGTGCCATCCTAGCCATCTCATGGTAGTAAGTCCCAGATCCTAGGCACTTAAAGCCTCAGCACTTTACTTCTACCTTGGGTTGATGGGGAACCATCAGTCATCTGGACCATGATGTCCTTACTGACTGAGCTTCCATCATAGCGGGAATATCACTGGGCCCTGGGCCTATGGAAGGGAAGGACAATGGGTCTTAAAGGATCCTCATGTGTGCATGCTCACATGTGGGATTGCTGAGTCAGAACATGTGCAACTTCCAGTGAATAAGTAGTACCAAGTTGCCCTCCAGAAGAAAATATTGAATGAAGCCTAGTTTATTATAATGTTCTAAGCCAATATTGGCTATCACACTTTAAAATTTTATCACTGTTGCCTGGCGGTGGTGGCACACACCTTTAATCCCAGCACTCGGGAGGTAGAGGCAGGTAGATATCTGTGAGTTCGAGGCCAGCCTGGTCTACAGAGATAAGTTCCAGAACAGCCAGGACTGTTACACAGAGAAACTCTGTCTTACAAAAACAGAAACAAAAAACTATTTATCACTGTTAATAAATTAACATTTTTTAAAGGTAATTTTTACTCTGGCATGTCATACATGTGCACAGTGCACATTGGATTTTGTTAGTGGGGAGTTTGTGCGGCTTCTCTACAGATGGCATTGTCTCTGTTTCTGTGTTTGGTGCTTTTGTGTTACCAGTGTATGTCACACTTAAGTGTTAGGCATGCTGGGAGTATCATTAAGTTCTATACTATTGAAACACAGGTACACAGGGAATATAATTAAAGGTGTTATAAACATGGGTTCCTACAACTACCTTGGATTTGCGAGGAACACTGGATCATGTCAGGAAGCAGCTGCCAAAGTTCTGAAGGAGTATGGAGCTGGAGTGTGCAGCACTCGGCAGGAGATTGGTAAGTGTGACCCCAAGGGTGAGTAATACAGGTACAGTGCTAGTATAAGAACTACACAAACGTTTGCCTTTTGCCTTAGGTCAGGTCTAGTCCACACTTTGTTTTCCTCAAGTGATGGCTAATGTTAATGTTAACCGTTTTGAGATGGTTTCCAATGTGTTACATGTACATATGTCCATAGCAAATTTTTGTATTTGTTTCATTTATGACTTTGTTGGATTTTATTGATTTTGTAAATCTTAGAAGTACCACTTATTGTTGTCCTTTTTAAAATGGTTGCTGCCTTTTAAGCCATGGCTGTCCGAATCAGCAGCTGCAGCTCCACCGCTACCAGCAAGGACTGTAGCAGGAGCGAATTCTGTTCCCTCAGGCACCAACTCTTTCAAAGCTATGAAGGGAACTTTTTGTTTTGTTTTGTTTTGTTTTGTTTTGTTTTGAGACAGGGTTTCTCTGTGTAGTTTTGGTGCCTATCCTGGACCTCGCTCTGTAGACCAGGCTGGTCTTGAACTCACAAAGATCCTCCTGGCTCTGCCTCCCAAGTGCTGGGATTAAAGATGTGCGCCACCACTGCCCGGTGTTATGCAGGGAACTTAACTAAACCTTTCTCCCTCTAAAGAACTCAAGATTCAAAGGTTAAGGTGGAATTCTGCTCTCCAGAGAGGCTGAATAGCAAGTAGCTCACCTCGTCTCCTTCCCTGCTCACGTCCTCCAAAAAGCCCTCCTGCTTCTCCTGGCCCCTCCTTACAAACCCTTCTCCACCTGGCTCCTCCCTACCACTTCCTGTCAGCTAGTTGCAGATGCAGCCTCCTGACCGCAGGTGAATTTTATTTAGCGAAACACATCTTTGCATTTTTAAACAAATGTTCCACAGCATAAACAAAAGTAACACACCTTGAAATAATATCCTGCAACAACTTATTGCATGGGAACTCGCAAAGCTAGTGTGCTTTCTTCATACTGGCAGACTAGGGCGATAATAATCCTGTGGGTATGTTTTGAGAAGTAAATAAGCTAATTCATGTAAAGCACTTGGAACAGAATAGATACTCAGTAAATGTAAACTATTGCTACAAATCTGTAAAATGAGAAAGATTAACCATCTTTTTTAAAATTTTTATTTTGTGCATTGGTGTTTTGCCTGCATGCGTGTCTGCATGGGGTATCAGATCTAGAACTGGAGTTACAGACAGCTGTGAGCTACCATGTGGGGGCTCGAAATTGAACCCAGGTCCTCTGGAAGAACAGCCAGTGCTCTTTTGTTTGCTTTGTTTTGAGATAGGGCTTCTCTGTAGTTCTGGCTGTCCTGGAACTCTATCTGTAGACCAGGCTGACCTTGAACTCAGAGATCTACCTGCCTCTTTTGAGTGCTGGAATTAAATTTGCGCACAACATCGTCAGTGCTCTTAACCACTGAGCTGTCTCTTCAGCTCCCAGGATTAACAATCTTATGTAAAGAAACTTATTTTAATTCAAAGGTAGATTTCAGATTCCACTCCCCACTCCCACCCCTTTTTTTTTTTTTTTTTTTTTTAAAGAACTACTATATGTTCTTACCATATGTTTTGGGCTCCTTTGAGCCATGATGGTCCTGGCACATTATGTCTTACCTGGCAGCAGACTTCCTAGAGGAAGCTCCACTTGGCATTTGTCAAAGCTAGTCCCTAAGCCAGCCCAGGTTCACAGGCTGTGGGGATGGCACTCCACCTCTCAGTACAAAGAGAAGAAAGGGATTCCCGTCATATTTTGTCTGCCACAGTAACTCACTCAACATACTGCATTTAAAATTAAATAAAGAGAAAGTTAAAAAGAAAACAGAATTATGCACCTTTCATATCCTCTGCTTTATTCATTCAGACTTTTCATACCATATGTACATAGTACATACTATAGAACTTTACAACACCATTATATTATTAGTAAAGTTTATTAGGAAACTTCTGTAGCTATTCATGCTTTGAATTTTATTCTCAACTCTCAAATATGAATGTCATTGCTATGGGCCAAGACACATAGATACTTCTTCCTAGAAAATATTCAGCTGCAAATTTCAACTAAAAGTCAATTCTTGAGAGAGCTACAGTATGTTAAACTGTATTTGGTTTCCCCTCTAAATTTTCAGAGGTTCCCTGCTCCACTTTGAGACACTGGAAGGAGGCCAGTGTGTGCTTTCTTTGCTCCTGTAAGGATCCTTAGATGTCCATTTGTTACGTTTTTGTTTGTTTGGTTGGTTGGTTGGTTGGTTGAGCCAGGGTCTTACTATGTAGCTGTTTTGGAACTTACTATGTACATCAGGCTAGCCTCAAACTCAGAGATCTGCCTGCCTCTGACTCCTTCCTGACTGTAGTTGATTGTGTTTTTTGTTTGTTTGTTTCTTTGTTTGTTTCTTTGTTTGTTTTACTCTTTGCTCTTTGGGGGCCCACCACCCAGCTCCCAAATAATACAAGGAGACTTATTCTTACGAATGTCTGGCCTTAACTTGGCTTGTTTCTTGCCAGCTTTTCTAACTTAAATTATTTCATTTCTCTTTAACTATGTTTTGCCTCTGGGCTTTTTACCTTCCTCTATTCTCTCATTCTCTCATTCTCTCATTCTCTCATTCTCTCTCTCTCTCTCTCTCTCTCACTCTCACTCTCACTCTCACTCTCACTCTCACTCTCACTCTCACTCCGTGGCTGGTTGTGTGACTGTGTGGCTGACCCTTGGCATCCTCTCCTCCTTTTCTCTATCCTGCCTCCCTAGATTTCTCCTCCTCTTTATCCTCTCTGTCTGCCAGCCCCACCTATCCTTTTTCCTGCCTCACTATTGACTGTTCAGCTTTTTATTAGACCATCAGGTGTTTCAGACAGGTAAAGTAACACAGCTTCACAGAGTTAAACAAATGCAACATAAAAGAATGTAGCACATCTTTGCATCATTAAACAAATGTTCCACAGCATAAACGAATGTAACACATCTTAAAATAATATTCCATAACGCCTGACTGTTGAGTGCTGGTATTAGAGGTTTGTGCTACCATGCCTGGTTTGTTTGGCTTTATTCTTTTGTTTTATTTTGTTTGTCTTTGTTCTTAAAGTGTATGGTTACATATAATGTGGACATTTTTGATCTAAAAGTCCTAAGTTTTCATTTATTAAAGAATAGCTCAGTAAAGTAAAAAAATGAGCTAGTCCTTTTGCGGCGATTTAGAACATGCTTTGTAACTATAGCTTGTACACTTTGTTTCTTGGATCCCATGCCAGTTTAGTTTGGAGAAGCCTCAGTTGCATCTTTCCCACATTTGCAGTTCTGAGTTTACCAGGCAAGCCCAAGAAGACGAGCTTTGAGAAGCATGTTCTTTTCTGTAGCTCTCTGTGTACTCTTAGGTATTTCTTTGATGTAATTCCATCCTGACTCCTGCTTTAGTTTGAACTTGTTGCTCTCGGGACTGCTTTACAGTTACATTCTGGTATTTCTTTATTTGGGGCCTGAGAGGGGCCATTTCAGGAATTTTGTTTCCCTTGTCCAGTTGGATTCTTTATTCCCTGTACCTTCCTCTCAGTAACAGATCCCTCATGTGGAGCTCATTGTCTAGTGCTCCCCAGGGTGAGCAGGGGATTGAAATTTGCTGTCAGAAACTGTCGTTTATGTGATATATTACTCGATTAGTTGTTCTGGCACTACCACGTTGGAGGTTGAAATAGTGAGATTGTTGCCTCATTGTTCTCTGGACCAGTGGGGCCGGTCAAGTATGAGGCTGTTATGGTTATGGTTCCCAGTGTTTTTGTGTAGTTTTTTCTCTCCAAGTTTCTAACCAAGAAGACTTTGTTGTTTAGAAACCCATGATGGGGATAAATAATATATAAACATGGTTAATAATCCCCAAAGTGTTGATGTACGCTTTTATTCCCAGCACTTGGGAGGCAGAGCCTGGCGGATCTCTGTGAGTTCGAGGTCAGCCTGGTATATAGAGATCCAGGACAGGTACCAAAACTACACAGAGAAACCCTGTCTCAGAAAGAAACAAAACAAAACAAAAATAATCCCCAAAGTATCTAAAGGCATGTAATGAAAAGTCTGCTTGCTGCCTGTGGTCCTGCAGAAATGGGTTCTGCTGTTTTTTTTTGGGGGGTGTTTGTTTGTTTTGCATATTCTTAGAAGCCTCAAAAATTTTAATACTTTTAGTTAACATGCAAAATAAATGGGTTTCATTCTTACATTGTAACACATACATCCACACATATACTTGTACATCGCTCATACTTGTGCCCCACTACCATCCTCGTTTTCCCCATTCCTTCCGTCTCCCCCTTCCCTCCAAATAGCCCCTATTGTGCTTCCATGTGATGAATTCATTTACATTTAGAGTCTGCATGTGAGAAAACATCTTTTCTTTTTTGAGCTTTTTTCCCTAGTTTCTAGTTTCTAAGACCTCTTATTTCTTTTGATTGTATCAAGAAATTCCTATTCTAGCTTGTTATGAATCTTTCTCCCTCACAAGCTGTACTGTCTTGGTGTTTGTGTGGATCCTTACAAATTGAAGACCCATATCCTTTGATTTTATAATACTCTCTTGAATATTTTCTTAGTTTTTGCTTTTGAAAACCATGTACACACTCTTAGTATTTATCCCCTAATTGTCTTCCTTTCCTTTTCTTTTCTTTTGTTAGTGAGATGTTGAGTGGGCAGATCTGTCTATAAACTTGCCCTTCCTCACCTTTACAACCTGGCATTACACACACACACACACACACACACACACATACACACACACACACTTCAATAGCTGAAGCCCAGAAATTCAAAATAATGTCCTTTTACTGTGGGCGTGAAAGAAGGCAGAATTACTTGATTGCTTGTGCAGGATTTAGAAGGGACAGTGTGTTACTTTCTATTTCTTGCCTTAAAGGCTTTATTAAGATATAATTTATATGACATATAATTTGTCCATTTGAAGGGTATACTTCATAGTCTTTTAGAATGTTCACAGAGATGGCAGCCGTCACCACAGTTTAAATTTTAGAATATTTTCATTCCCTCTGATAGAGCTGACTGACCCACCAGCCTTCACTGGCAACCAGTGGTCTACAGTCTTTATTTGCCTCCTTTGGACATTTCATATACATGGAATTATATAACATTGTGGCCTTTTTTTAATTAAGGAATTTTTAAATTCATTTTACACACCAACCGCAGATCCCTTTTGTGTGTGACTCCTTTCACTCAGTGTATATTCACAAGATTATCTGTATGTAGTATGCATTCGTACTTTATAGACTGCATCAGCATGACATTCTACTTTGTGACTAAGTAGCAACCCATTGCATATATCACATGTTTATCCATTTATCTCTGATGGACATTTGGTTTATTTCTTCTTTTTGCCTGTAAGAATATATTTTGGAAATAACATTTTCATTTCTCTTTGGTATGTACTTAGGTGTGGTATTGCTAGATCACATGGTCATTCTATGATTAGCTTTTTGAGCTGCTTCCCAGAGCAGCTACACTATTGTATAGTCCCATCAGCAATGAGAGTTTATGGTTTTTGGGAGTTGGGATTAAGAGGTAGGGGTGAGGCATGCTTAGATAGTCTTGCAGCTATATAGCCCAGGATAGCCTTGAACTTGTGACCTCATACAAGTGTTGGGATTACAGATATGTTCTGCCATCCCTGGCTTTGTGGGGTTTTTTTTGTTTGTTTGTTTTTTGTTTTGTTCTTTTGTTATATATAAATATATAAAACACACCACCGCCCGGCAGCTTTGTGTGTTTTATATATCATGTTTGTAGCCTAGCCTTAACCCTTGCTTGCCTTGATCACTGCTGCCTCTCGCTTTAAGTCTTTCTGGAGTTCATGCAGTGAGTGTACTCATCTCTCATCAAATCATCTTCTACTTGGTAAGGACATAGCTTTAGCCTTTCTCTCTCAAAGCCCAACTCTGTTGGCTTCCTAGGACTACTATAGCAAAGAATGAGAAACAGGGACTTGTGGAGGATAGAAGTATGAGATCAAGATGTTGGCGGGCCACGCTCACTGACAGCACCTCAGTGTTCCCTAGCCTGTGGTGCCGTGGCTGTCTTCCTGTGTGTCAGACATTGTCGTCTTCTGGGCCTCCCGGTGTGTGTCTATTTGTCCAGGATGTTATTGGCCCAGTCCCATTGACCTTATTTTATCTTGATTATTTTTGTGAAGACTTTCCAAAGTGGCTACATTCTGAGGAAAAGGAGCTAGAACTTTGTTTTGTTCTGGCTCTGGAATCTGATTCTGGGCCTTGTACATGCTGTGCATCTGTTCTACACAGAGCTGCCTCTTCAGCCCCTCAGAATATCTTTTTAGGGAAACACAGTTCACCCTTTGACATTACCCATGCTTATATTTCTCATTTTTCACCAATTATATTAAGGATTATAAGTATCCATAAATGGAGTTTTACTTCTTGTCCTTCTAGTGTTTTGGAGTTAGTTTGTGTTGCTTTTCAACAGAAAATATCAATAGAATTTTTTTGTTTGTTTTATTTTTTTGTTTTTCAAGACAGTTTCTCTGTGTAGTCATGACTGTCCTGGAACTCATTCTGTAGACCAGGCTGGCCTCAAACTCAGAAATCTACTTGCCTTTGTCTCCTAAGTGCTGGGATTATAGACGTGTGCCACCAATGCCCCATTTAATATAATATTTTAAACTCCACCTTTAAAGTAAGTTTTGTAGCTGAAGCTTGAGAGATCACAGGCTGTTAGGTCAGTGGTATGGGCAAGAGAGAGCTACACAGCGATCAGATATAGTGAGTACTGTGTATCTCCACAGCACTATGAATTTTGTAAAGTACCAGCATATTATCTTGGTCCTTATAACAACGTCATAAGATAGATAAGGAAGTATTGTTAGTGTTCAGCAGGTGAAAAAACGAGTCTTATGATACATAGCATTCAAGTTCAACAATCTCCGTTTTTCAGTATCCATTCTCTGTGCAAATCATTCAGTCATTAGGGATTTGAAAACCACTGTGGTAGTCACAATACAAACTTAACAATTGTCGGGCGGTGGTGGCGCAAACCTTTAATCCCAGCACTCGGGAGGCAGAGGCAGGCGGATCTCTGTGAGTTCGAGGCCAGCCTGGGCTACCAAGTGAGTTCCAGGAAAGGCGCCAAGCTATACAGAGAAACCCTGTCTCGAAAAAACAAACAAAAACAAAAAATAAACAAACTTACCAATCATTTGAAAACGAATAGGTGTGCTCCACGTGGTTTCAAGTGAGCCATTATCCCTGAGGATGGATGGTGTAATGGACACAGATGGCACCTTAGCTGGCCAGCAGCGCTGCTGATAATTCTGCTGTTTAGCTTCTTATCCTCCAGTGTTTACCTTTCTCTATATTCTGTCTTTACAACAAGCCAGTTAATACTGTTGTGTATGACTGGCGACTTCAAAAATGTAGGCACAAACTTTGTTAGATTTTTTAGGGCTTAGATCTGAGACTAGAACGTGAAAACGTGAGTTAGTAGTCCTCCTTTTCCCCCAGAGCTGCTGAATATGAATGTATCAGCTGTTGTGTTTTTATAGCTGTTGCTATCTATAGTACCAGTCTCTTCATGAACTTATTTGGAAAACGTTACAACACATGGATTGATTTCTTTTTCTTTTTCTTTTTTGTTTTTATTTTTTGAGACAGGGTCTCTCTGTATAACAACTCTGGCTGTCCTGGAACTCACTTTGTAGACTAGGCTGGCCTTGAACTTAGAGAGATCTACCTGCCTCTGCCTCCTGGATGCTAAGATTAAAGGAGTACACCACCACCACCCTGCTAAAAATATTTTTATTAATGTTTGTGTGCATGTATGCATATGTGTGGTATGAGTCAGAGGACAACTCTCAGGAGTTGGTTCTCTCCATCTACTATGTTCATTCCAGGGATTGAACTCAGATAGTCAGGCTTGGCAGCAAGTGACTTCACCCACTGATCCATCTTGCTGTCCTGTTTTCTCTTAATAAAGTACTAATTTTAAAATTGAGGATGATGCTGATTTTATTAATTGACTTCTCCATGCAGGAAACCTGGACAAGCATGAAGAACTAGAGAAACTGGTAGCAAGGTTCTTGGGCGTGGAAGCTGCTATGACCTATGGCATGGGATTTGCAACAAATTCAATGAACATTCCTGCTCTTGTTGGCAAAGTAAGATGGCGTCACTTGTAGCCGTTCTCTTATCCATATGTTCTTTTGTTCTGATACACATTCAGATCCAGCTGAGTTATTATTAACATTAGACTAAGCACGGTTTACAAGATACTACTACATCACAGCTTTTTGACAAGTATATCTTGCAGAGCCAATACTGGTTGGAATTTTCCTCCTAGAACCCATGGTCCTTCTCTCTTCCTGTACAGTTTTGAAGGAATTCTGATGAAAATAAATGCCAAAAGATTAAAGTTATGAAACGGGTTTAATTCAGAAAGTTAATAGTTTTGCTTAAGTATAAATATAAGAATGCATTTACCTTTATATAGGTAAATTATATATAAATGTAATGTGTGTGTGTGTGTATCTATATCTCTGCATATCTATACTGTGATAGAACTTGTGAGAATTAAAGTAAGGAGAGGTAAAATCCTTTCTAAATGTAGCTGCTCAGCACTGTCAGCTTGAAAAGAATCCTTGAGGTGGTTTTCTCCTTTGTGTGTGTGTGTGTGTGTGTGTGTGTGTGTGTGTGTGTGTGTGTGTGTGTGTTTTACATCTTAGCATGATTGTTTAGAATTGGCACATAGACAGAAGCAGTGGATTTCCTCAGACTTGAGTTTTGCTTGTCTGTTGACTATATGGTCAAACCTATCTATAGCTGTGAACATGTCACATTGCTTTTTTAATCCTTAAAGTTTCCTTTGTAAACGGGTTAGTGTAACTCTAATTCAGTTATAACTGTATGATTCTGTAAGGAACAGATGGGACAAATAGTAAACAAATTGCAATGTAAGAGATTTAAACCCAATTGTATTGATATTACAAAAATGTAGCTGGTTTATTTGCACGTTGAAGTAGAAGGTAGACCTTCTTAGATAAACTCAAACTAGTCAGCCTCCTACTATCAAATGAACCTATTGAAATATGAAGATATGAACATTAAAAAGACGACAGTGACACAGCAGCATGCACTTGCCATCCTTACCGCTTGAGGGGCTGAAGCAAGAGGACTTCTCAAGCCCAGAGACTGGAGATCAACATTAGAGGTGGGGAGTAGAGGCTGTGTTAAATAGGTAAAGAATGCTTGCTTAGCATGTACGTGGTCCTGGGTTTGGTCTCTAGCCTTCAAGGGAAAAGAAAAGATAAAAAAGCTGCAAACTAATGAAAAATTTGAAGTTATTATTTTAATATAAACAAATTTCAGACCAAGGAATATTGTGAAGATGAAGAATATAATATAATACAAAAGAGTTGATTAATCAAGATATATTAGGAACTTGATAATAGTTTCAAAGTACAGGAAGCAGAAGCTGATGGAACTCAAAGGATTGTGGAGAAACAGTACTGCAGTTAATGAGATCAACAGTGGGTAGCAGCAAGAATGATGGCAACAAGAATCGTCATGGGTACAGACCACTGGGAAAACAGTCTCAGTCTGCTAACCTCCTGGACACCTCCCAAACACTTGCCAACAGCAGCAGAATATTTGCCAGGACACATGGTACTTTAGGGTTTAAATAAGTTTTAATATGTTTGGAAATACCACAATTGTTAAAGTGTGTTCTTTGACCACAGTGCAATTTAATCAAATCATTCACACAGATTTTGGAAGTTGAAGAAAAAACAAGGCAAAATAAAAAATAGTCAATGAAATGTAACGTCACAAATCACTAAAGCAGTATACACATAGGCATATATAATTCTAAACACACTTGGGGTTTTGAAGTTGAGGGTATGTGCCTTCCTCCAGAGATATGTACTCATTTTAAATGATTATTTTGAGGGGGAAAAAAAAAAGAAAAGCTTCTCTATCTTAAGAAATAAAAAAGAGGGCTACAGAGATGGTTCATTGGTTAAGAGTACTTGCTGGCTTCTGTTTGATTCCCAGCTCTCACATGGTGTCCCACATCCACCCATAACTCCAGTTCCAGGGACCTACTGTATTCTTCTGACTGCACGGGCAGCAGGCATGCCTGTGGTACACAATATATACATGCGGGCCAAACTCTCATACACATAAAATAAATACATCTAAAATTAAAACATTGCAATAAAAGCAAACCACACCCAACTAAGTAAACAGGAAATATACAGTAGCAACAACTACAGAGTCAGTGAATTTTAGGGAAAGCAGTGAAACTGAAGCTGAATCTTTGAGACACGAATAAAACAGCCAGATCTAACTAGACCCATCAGGGTAAACAGAGAGAGGCAGGAGTGAAAGAAATGACTTCTTTGTAGATCCTGTGGACTTACAGGATAAGAAGGAAGTCATAGGACGCGGTCTGTTCAGCAGCTCGTACAGCATGGACAAATTCTTTGAAAGACTAGTGTGTGTTTCCTTCCATTGACAGCAATACACTGCCATCCTGCATTTTGGCAGCATCAACCTAAAATTCTGACTTGGACTTTCTTAGTGCTTTTGACACTAGAAGATTAATTGACCTCACTTTTCATCTTCCCGTATGCTCGTGAACTCTAGTAAATCATTGTTTAGATTTAGATGTCTCCTGTAGTAACATGGAAGAGGGACTGCCTTAAAGATCATCTTCCAAATTAGAGTGGAAATGGTAGTAACTATTATTTGATCTCTTAAGAATGTTAATTCTTTGAATCTGATCTTGAATCTAAGTTGGTTGTTCAGCTTAAAGGCTGATTGGACACATGGTCTAAAATTAGGAGCTTTGTGAATCTCTTTTTTTTTGTTTTGTTTTGTTTTTTTGTTTTTCGAGACAGGGTTTCTCTGTGTAGCTTTGTGCCTTTCCTGGAACTCACTTGGTAGTCCAGGCTGGCCTCGCAGTCACAGAGATCCGCCTGCCTCTGCCTCCCAAGTGCTGGGATTAAAGGCGTGCGCCACTACCGCCCAGCAGTGAATCTTAAAGGTATTTATTAATAAAATCAAACCTGAGGCCAGTTATTGGCGTGAATGCTGGAAGATCAGAGAAGCAGAACAAGCCACAGCTACCTCACCTTGGCAATTCCTCAGCTGATCCTGTTTCCTCAGACTGGAAACCATTGAGTCCTCATCCAGAATGAATCTCAGCTGAACTGCTACTCAAAAGCCTAAAAGCTTATCCAGCCAAATGCTTAACCAGCCAAATGCTGCTAGTTTCTGACCTTCACGCCTTATATATCTTTCTGCTTTCTGCCATCACTCCCTGGGATTCAAGGCTCACTTCTTGGGTAAAGGCATGTGTCACCATGCCTGACTGTTTCCAGTGTGGCCCTGAACTCACAGAGGGATTTCTGTCTCTGGAGTGCTAGGATTAAACGTGTGAGTGCCACCATTTTCTAGTTTCTGTATCTAGTGGCTGTTCCGCTCTCTGACTCCAGAAAAGTTGATTAGGGTGCACAATATTTTGGGGAACACAATACCACCACATAAGAGTGACTTTGTTTTGTAAATTGAAAATGATAATAGTACCTATTTCATGTATTATAACAAAATAATGCCTTAAAATTCCTTAACAAACTGCTTAAAGCATATGCACTTAGATGTTGCCTCCTAGTATTTCATATCATTTTAGTTTTGAACCAACTATGTCATAGAATCTCACAGTAGACTACAAGAAAAAAGCCAGACTGATAACCTAAAAATGTTGACTAGCGTCTCTGAAAAACAGCCTTGCAAATTTTGCCTGAAAAATACATTATCTGGAAGGAGAAGGAAATTGAATTATGTGTGTTAGGAGAATTCTTTTAAAGTGCACTAAACTAGAGCTGTGCGTGCTCAGTACAGACTGGTGGCTTATAAAAGAATGACCCTACCGCTCTTTAAATCTAGACTTAGACAAGAGCTCCAGAGGGTACCGAGTCCTCCATGGCCTTCACTCCGCTTCCCATTATGATAGGACCTTACTTTCCAGTGCAGCATTCCCCAGAGCCCAGAAGTTACTGTGACCCAGGACACTGACAGATGCAGGACGCGTTTCATGTCTACTGTTAAACATTGCCAGTCTCTGCCCTGGCTTCTGTTGGGGCCACATTCATTTAGGTGGGGCTCCCACTCTTTTCCAGTGGACTTCCTGGCTTCCTTGTGCTGGCTGGTCCTTATTTTATAGAGTGTCTCTTAGCTTGAGTGGTCACAACTGATGACATTCACCTCAGTGTGTTGTATAAGGTACATGGTGCCACTATCTATTACTAGTAATATGAATAAACCCTGGTCCCTTGGCTAAGATATCAGGCAAGACTTTCTACTGTAACTTACTGCTATTCCTTTTGTAGTTACCAGTTACTGTGGTAGAGAAACTTCAGGACTATGTAAATAGTGTTTTTTTTTTATTAAACTTTCATATACTAATTTTAGTGTGGATATGCACAGCCAGTGACAGTTAATTGCTTTGGTATTCTTGGAGTGATTTTTTTCCCCCTCATTCCTTCTATATTTATTCATTGGAGTTTTGTGGAAGAGTTGTTGCTTCTCCTTTATATCAGTATGGATTCTTGAATATCTCATTTGTGTAATAATCCAACATTAGTACCTTTTTTTTTTTTTAAACTTTTTTGGGTTTTTTTTGAGACAAGGTTTCTCTGCATAGCCCTGGCTGTCCTAGAACTCACTCTGTAGACCATACTGACCTCGAACTCAGATATGCCTGCCTCTGCCTCCCAAGTGCTGGGATTAAAGTCGTTCAGTACTATTCCCAGCTATGAATACCATTATTGCCTAAGTTGTTTTTGTTTGGGCCATTGGGGTTTTTTGAGATGATTCTCACATAGAAATTTGTTTATTCATTTGTTTGTTTATTGTAGTGTCAGGGATCCAACCCAAGGCCTTTTGCATGCTCCGCAAATACTCTCTACCACTGAGCTTTATATCCTCAGCCAACCCCTGTTGAGGCCATTTTTAAAAGACAAAACCCTGTTTCTGTGCTTATTTTAGCAGGGTCCCATGAGAGATGGCAGAGTAAGAAGTGAGGGAGAACTAAATCACCAAGAGTGTCAGGCTTTGCTCTCTCCTTAGTGTATGTGTTAAAGTCTGTCCGGGATTTGAGGAGGCTAAACCACAGCCTGCATACTCTGTGACTCGGGCTTTAGAAATAGGTTCTTCCCTGAACTAAGACATGTTAATAGTGAAGGGAAAAGCACTATTTCTACAGCTGCCATTACTCACAAAAGGATACATCAAAATTCTGTCAAATCAAAGATACCAGACCCTTTTAAAGACTGCTAGATTTTAGGTGTAAATAAGAACATATTGCTGTACATCTGGATATTTAAACTGACAGGATGAAGAAACTATTCTATATAGGCTAGGATTCTGCATCTGCTTCTAAAGCATCTTTGAGAACCCTTTATCACCAACATTTGTTAGTAACTCACCTTCCTGTACTCGTGGTTTTTCAGGGTTGCCTGATTCTGAGTGATGAGCTGAACCATGCATCACTGGTTCTAGGAGCCAGACTGTCGGGAGCAACCATTCGAATCTTCAAACACAACAGTGAGTTAGCCCTAGGCTTTGCCATTGGCTTTAATGTTTGATATTCTTTGCTACAGTGGTGGTGATTACAAAGTTACATTAATAATTGGAAAGTACAATGCAGCTAAAGTCCAGTCTTTTAAAAAGACATTCTCTTTAATGAAATAAAAGCAGAATGTGGTGGCATGTGATTGTAATCCTAGCACTTGGGAGGCTGAAGCCGGAGGATTTTTAATTTGAGGTCAGCTTGAGCATGTGTGTGTTTATGTCTTTATCTGTCTCTCTATGAAGGAATAGAACATATGCTGACTGGATTCCTTTTTGCAAATTATACTTCCCTTGATTTGACTTTTAAGTTTTCCATTGCACTTCCTTGTTTACAAATCTCTGTTCAAGTACATTAACTCGATACCTGTAGTGTGTCTTGTCATAGCACTAGGAAGAGTAACTAAGATCAGTGAATAGTTAAACGAACAATTTAAAAATACAACAGATGGGACCAAGATACTCAGCGAGGGAAGAGTTAGCTACACAAACTGGATGACGTGACCTCCAACCCTGGAACCTGGGTGAGAGAGAACTGATTCCATAAAGTTGTCTTCTTACCCTACACTCTGCTGTGGTATGGGCCTTCCCCACCTTTCGTCACACACAGCACAAGACACACACACACAACAACAACAACAACAACAGCGTTTGGGACTGGAAAGATAACTCAGTGGAAAGTGTGTACAGCTTTTACAGAGGACCTGAGTTTAGTTCCCAGTACCCACTAAAGGCTGCTCACAACCCGTGTGACTCCAGATCTAGGGGATTTGACACACCCTCTCTGACCTCTACAGATACTTGCACTCCTGCAGACATACACACTCATAATTAATAATAACAATAAATCTTAAATTTTTTAAAAGGTATAACAGACAGTATTGGGGAAATGGCTCATTCTGTAAGGTGTCTGCCACACGGGTGTGAAAACCTGAGTTCAGATCCCCAGCACTCATATAAAAAGATGGGCATGGCACCTCATGCCTAGAATCTCAGCACTGGGAGGTGGAGACAGGCAGGTCTTTGAGGCTAGCCAGGCTAGCTCAGTTGGTGAGCTAGAAGTTCGGGAGAGACCATGTCTCAAAAAATAAGGTGGAATATGATTGAGAAAGATACATGACAATCAACCTCTGGCCTCTACAAATACTACATGTGCATATGTACCTGTACGTGTGTATATACACAAATATATACATACATAACACACACACACACACACACACGTACAAGAAAAAAAACAGATAAATGTTCTGTACAATAATATACAAAGGTGGTAGGGATTGATGTCTTCAAGCTAAAACTTGTTTCTTAAGTGGAAATACTTTTGTGCACTGTTTTTAAAGTGCATAAATCATAGTTGAAAAAAGTTTTAAAGTGCACAAATCATAATCTTAAAAAACATTTTTTTAAGATTTATTTATTTATTATGTATACAATATTCTGCCTGCATGTATCCCTGCAGGCCAGAAGAGGGTGCCAGATCTCATTACAGATGGTTGTGAGCCACCATGTGGTTGCTGGGAATTGAACTCAGGACCTTTGGAAGAGCAAGCAGTGCTCTTAACCTCTGAGCCATCTCTCCAGCCCTTAAAAAATTATTTTTATAAAAAACTTATAAAATTCATAGTTTTCATAAATTAAAACACATATAGGGAGAAAGGTCATTCCAGCTGTATTCTAAATATCTTCTCTTGCCAAAATATGTATATGTAGATGAAATTGTAGATCATATATACCAAAATGTTAGGCCTGTACCTCTGGAGGGAAGGGTTGGATAACAATAACTTACTTCTTTTTTTTTTTTTTTTTCTTATGTAAAATGTTCTACAGTGAGACTGGAACAGTGTTTTGTTGTATGTGATTTCAGACCTTTTAATTGTTGTTGTGAAACTTTTAACCATAAATATTGTGAACCTCTTGTCCATACCTGTGACTGTTTCTTATCCTTAAATGTAATGTGTCCAGCTATACCATAGCTCGTCAGCTCCTCTGTTTGAATCTTAAATCCTTTCTAGAAACAGCACTACACTCACATATTTACACAATCATCTGATCGCTATCAGCATCCTCAAGAGTGCCCAGTGAAAAAAGGTGTATAACATTGGCTGCTTGAACTCACTGGCCAGCATGGCCCATTATGTACCATTTTAAATCTTTCTAAACCTAATAAGGACACAATGTTTTGGGTGTTATTTATTTACTTTTTTTTTTTAGGTATAGAGCAATTATTTTATGCAGCTATTGTATTTGTAGATATTTCTTTATAAGCTGGTTATTATCAGCTGATGTCTTTATTGATTTTAGGAACTTTTTAATATTGTCCTTTTATGTAATACTATTTTTATTTAACTGTCTTGTT